AGAGCTTGTAGCACAGGTCATAGGAGCCTGTTTTGTTCCAGAGGCTAAAAGTGGAAGGAAAATTAAATTCCTCCAGTGAGAGGCTGAGAAAATGAAGAATGACACACACAAAAATCTTTTGTGTGCAGCTGCAAAAATTACCTGCTGCTGCTTATTAATTATCATGGCAAGGATCGAGGAGAAGGCATGAGGTGGAATTTGGGAGCATAAACCAACTATTTCCCTTCCCAGGTATGCTGGGTTGGCTGGAAAGCACTGTCCTGTCCAGTGTGCTCACTGTGGGTTACTTGATGTGGGAAAGAGGGACACAGGAATGCCTCTCTTCAAGATGACACTGCTCTCACCATAGGCTGGTGGGAATCCTTCCTAAAGGATTCTGTGTTTTTGAGGAGACACTGGATAAGGAGACCTCATTGAGCTGAGGGTAAATAGAATTGTCTAGGAGGGAGTTAAGGGGCACTATCAGCTTGTTACTGTCCTCCTTAGGTTGTGGGAGGATATTGGGCTAGCTGGAGTCTGGAGCAGTTCATAGGGAGCCCAGTGCAGAAACATCTACCTCCTGGAGCTGGCCTGGAGCACACTGATGGTTTGAACCCCCGGGGGCAGAAGAGCCTGAACAGCACTGTCCTCCTTTCTACTCTCAGCCATGCCATCCTGCACAGAGACACCACCACAGGCAGGGTTGTCACCTCCAGGCTGCCTTAGATGCCAGCACAGCCCGGGGGCAGAGCAGGAGCGCTGCCTCGGGGCGGTCCCCATCCCCTCGCTCAGCCCGGTTATCCGCGGGCTGAGGCTGTGCATCCTCGCTGACGTCAGCGCATCAGCCAGGAATCCCCTGCACGAAGCCGCAGTGGCTTCGCCCCCGTTTCCACGGCACGCATCGTTCGGGAGCCCCCAGCGCTCGGATGCCGGCACATCATTTCAGCTGGCTTGCGGCAGCGCCTCTGGGAACCCCCGCCCGGGAAACGGGACCGCGCTCAGCGCATCCCCAAACCTCCGGAGCTGAAACGCGACCTGGCGAGAGCCGGTCACGTTCCGGCCGAGATTCCGGAATAAACAGCCCTTGCTGAGTGCGGCGGGATGTTTAACGAGAGGCTGCTCAGCCCCTCTGTGCCCCCCACCTCCCAGAATCGCTCGGCTCTCCAGCCAGCGAGGGGAGAGGCAGCGAGGCGGCGTAATTTGTATTCCAGCTCTGCTGCTGCTCCTGGTGCTTCCAAGAAGCAAGTAAAAATAGCACTCTGTCATTTTGTAAATAACAGCTATCTCCTCACAGGCCCAGGGAGTCATGAGCACTTAAAGAGGGGATTGCGGGAAGGGGGGAGGGTGTCTGCCTTGAGCCAGGGCCTGAAAGATGGGGAGTTGGAGGAGGGCACAGGGGAGGGCGAGGGTAGATGGAGTGCCTGAAGCACCTCAGCAGCAGCTGCTACTGCTTTACACCTTCTGCACACCCGGGGAAGCAACAGACCCTGCTGGTGTTGGAGCTGGGGGTCCAGATCTGGCCCCTCCACCCCGGGCTGGGAGGGACCATTGTGGTGTACACGAGCAGCCAGGCCTGGGGTAACAGATTCTTGGAGGAGAGGGGTAGCTTTTAAAGAGCAGGCAGGTGTAGGAAGTGCCATGGTAACACTGTGGGAAGGGATGGTTTGTTTTGCATTTGCATTGCAGATCTGCCCAGCTGTGGGGGATTTCTCCAGGCGGGAGCAGCGTGGCCGGGCAGGCAGAGAGCGAGTTCTGTGCCTTGGGGGAGAAGGGGCAGCTTTGGGTGACCTGCAGCACCTTGTTGCTGCTCACACACTTGTTCCAGGTGGTTTTAGAAACGTGATTGTGCTGAGGGTTGGGATTAGGCTGAGCCAAAAAATGGGAAAAGCTCCCAGACCAGGGAACCAGCCTCAAACAAATGGCTTGGGAACATGGCATGCCACTAGTGTCTCTAAATTCTGCCCATGTACAAGTGTTGAACCTGAAAATTTCTTTCTCTTCTAGTTTCATGTCAGCTCCAGGGTCTTTTTCTGCTTTCCTGGTCCCCAGCAGGACCTGGGGCACAGTGAGGCTCAGCAGGGTGGCTGGAAGGGGTTTGTGCAGCCCACCAAGAGTAACACTGAGCCCTCTTTAGGGCAGTGTTGTGCCATTACTTAGGGCAGCCAGGGCTGGTCCATGCCCTTCTCCAGCTTCCTGCCTGAACCAAGTCTGTCCTTTTTTGTTTATGAACAGGACCAGTAGCATCTTCCTGCCACCCCAGCAGGCTTGAAGGCTTAACTTGTGCATCCAAAAACCTTTGAATTACAGGGAAGAATGATGCTAGCAAAGGAAAAGTGTAATTTAACATTCTGCAACAGATCTAGTGAAAGCACCTAACCCTATGTACAGTCCTTTATTATTAAATCTTTGGGGAGGACTGGGCAAAACAGCCAAGCAGCAGGGCGAGCTTGTCTGTGGATTGAGGATCAGATAAGGGTTTCCCTGCCATGTCTCTAAGAAGAGGCAGGAGATGATCTCTCAGCTTTCTCTTGCTGTAAAAGTAGGCACAGTTTCTTCTCTTCACCCAGGCTTTGGGTGGGTAGCTGTGAGGGCAGGGAGAAGGGAGGCTGGGTGAGCAGCTCCTGGTTGCTCTGGAGGAGAAGGTCTCGCAGTCACAGAGCCAGTGAGCTCTGGCAGAGTTGCAAGCAGTGCAGTTGCTCTTGGGCTACAGGATCACGAAGGAACTGAGTCTCTGAGGCTGGAGCTCGCTCTGTTCTGCTGGTGTTTTACTTATCTCTGGATTTCCCAGCTCTGCTGAAATCCCTGCTTGCGTGGCAATGATTTAATTTCAGAAATCCCTCCGGCTCCCAGCCAAATCCTGCCCTTAGGAGCACACATTAACGGGGAAAGTTCAGTCTGGCTTTTGCCATGAAAGGTGCAGGGAGCTTGTTTTCCTGTGTGCTGAGGGACATCAGTAAGCCAGTGGTGAAACCCCAGCTTGTCCCTGCACCAGGCACTGCATGGCCTGGCCTGGGGAATACATCTGCAGCCTGGAAATGGGAGATCCTCTTCAGCTCTGGGCCATAATTGAGTATTAATATTAATTATTAATTTTAATAAGATAATGCCATTATTTTTGATTGGATTTGCCAGTAGATTGAAGGGAACAGGAAGGGGTCCCTGGAGCTCTGTGACAGATTGTTTACAGCTTGATAAGGACATAAAGGCCCACGTAAAGATTGCAGGATAATACCAAAATGCGTCCAAAACTCGTTCTGCCTTTTGTCTTCTCATGACTTACTGAATCCCTTCCCTTGTGCTTGAACCCACCAGAGCACATTGGGAAGCACAAGCCCTTTCATGGACCCCTGTCCCTGAAACATGAACAGGGACACCCTGTTCCCTCTGCACTTCACAGGAACTGTATCCCCTGGCCATGGGTGGCCGTGGATCCTGATCTGAGATCCGTGGCTGAGAGTTTATGTTTTCTCTAGAACACAATTAACTTTCCCTCACAGCATGTGGTAGCAGAAGGAGCCTTGCATCACTAAGTGTTCTCTGCTGTGTATCTCATTTGAGGACTTGTTTGGAGGGAGACAGAGAATACCCTGAGTGTTTGCTGCAGAAGTAACTCATTTTGTTTAGACTTCTGGGGGTTTCACAAAGTGTGCTGCATACATATTTCTCTTTAACCTTCTTTTTATCACATCAAGAAAAGATCAAGGGTTACTTATATAGCACAATAATACCAGCCATAGGCTGCATCAGAAGCTTTCCAGCCATAATAACAAAAGACATATATATGTATATTTTAGCCATTAAGGAGAAAAGCCTGCCAGAATGCATTATCTTATGTTGGGATGCAAATTTTGAAGCACAAAACTAAGCTTCATAGTACTGCAAAATAACTGTCAGGGGACAGAAGGATTTCCATAACTTAATTGAGCAATAGGCCATCCAGGCTACTTGCAAAGCTGCTGCAGTGGCCAAAATTGGGTACTGTGCATAAAACATGAACTCTGCTTTGGGGCTTTAAATTGGTTCTTTCATTAGGAGAGCAGCTCTGAGCCAGCTAATGCCATACAATAGCATGATGTATCCCTAAAGTGGTGAGGATTTATGGTAACTGAGTGCTCAACTCAGGGCACCTCATCCATCATTTTTTCAGCACGACCCAGTGGGCAGAGCACAGGGCTGTAAATCTGGCAAACCACCGTGCCTTGATTTCCCTGCAAAATGGGACAGCAGCAGAGATGTCAATCAGGAAACATGCCAAAATCAACTGAAGCCAGGAGAGAGAGCTGTGTGTGCTGCTCAGCACGTGCTGACGGCCGCCTTCTGCAGAGCGCTCCGGATCATCTTCATCTGAAGGCATGGGATGGAAATGGCCCCTGGGTTTTAGCAGCTGGGGCAGGATCTGGGGCTCAGTGTCTTTTTTGGGGCAGTGAGGCTGTTGTTCAGCATCCACGAGGGCAGCACAGCCTGGGGGCAGGGGAGCACGTGATGTGGGCGAGCAGCAGCTTCGCAAAAATGAGGCACTTAGGAGAACAGCAAGCACGGCGGCAGTAAAAGGCAATCAGAATATTGATTCTCTTTACATACAGATAAGCCTGAAGCTGTAACAAACCCAGGCTTTCCTAAGACTGGTGGAACATTGCTAGGCTGTTTATCAGGCTGGGAGACACAAAGGGATTTCACATTAAAAGGAGTTTCAAAGCACCTCTGTATTGAAAACGTGTGGATCTGCACCACGTTATGGATCGTGCAGCCACATGGATTCTGTAAATATGCAGTGTCTGGCCACGTGGGACATATTCATCCTCAGTGTAAGTGTGGGAAGCAGCAGAGCTGTGCTGGAGATGAATTTGCCCAGTTAGGAGTGATAAAATCAGCCGTTGCTCGGGGCACAGAGGATGGTGCAGAGGGTTCAGCAGAGCAGGAAAAAACACCACGTAACAACCCCCAAACCCTTCCCCGTACAAGAAAATTCAGTTCTTTAATTGCTTTTTTTCCCTTTTCTCTTTTTTTTTTTTTTGTCCCAGACAGTGTAACCGAAGTCAAGACAGACATTTACGTGACAAGTTTCGGCCCTGTCTCGGACACAGACATGGTAGGTGCCTCACAGGGAGGGATGGCTTCCCCTGCAGCCACTGTGGATGTGTCCCACTCTCGTCCCAGGAATATCTGGACAAAAGCAGGATTTTCCTAAATGGCAAAGCTGGTGGTAGCTCAGTGTGAGTGGTAGAGAGGGGTTGTTTCTCACGCTTTTGGAAACCCTTGGAGAGTCAATACCTTTGCACTTCTCAGACACACTGCAAGCTTTAGGGTCTTTTTATTTCCTGCAAGTCCAACCTAATCAAGTGGGGTCTGCCCATGGGACCTGGACATGAACATAGCATGCTCCCCCCGTTACCTGCCTTGACAAGCATCTTTGCTGCAGACACCTTTCCCTGACCTGTCTGCATGTGGAGGAAGGAAGGTGCTCGCTGGGAAGAGGAGAGGATGCCAGAATCTGGTCTGGTTTGATGGCAATGCCAGAAGAGAATGATTCACCATCAAACTGTCCTCAGCGCTCGAACCGAAAAGGAGGCAAAAGAGGAAAAAAAGAAAAAGCATGAACTGATTGCAGTATTTTGACATGTTCAGGGGAAATTATTAATGAAAAGGCCTGAGGTCTGAATTTAGGCTTGTATTCCCACAACAGTTTGTCTTCTAATTAAAACAGGACTGTGGAGCATAATTAATAGTGAGGTTTCTCAACAGTGTTCCTTGCAGCTCGTGTTCCACAGGCGCCCAGGCGCGCGGAGAAGAGTTGGCTCGGGATGGTTGCTCCACAGTTCAAGGATGCCACGTGAGGACAGCCCTGCATTCAGGACTGAGAGCCTCCTGCACATCCAGCACCAGAGGTGACCTGGTGCTGACACATCCCAGGCCAGCAGTGGGCTGTCCTGGCCGCGGAGGGAGCCTGCTTTGGGAGGAGGAGCAGGCTTTGCTCTCACCAGCCAGGCCAGGCTGGAGCAGTGTCCTGTGACTCTCATGGCGCCTCTGGAGCTGGAAGGGTTTAATTTTCTGTGCTGACACGGCCTGAACTTCTCTTCAGCTGTCCCACGGACAATCCTGTGCTAGCAGGCAGAGGAGCTGGGGGAGAACAAAACCTCTGTGTTTCATGGAAGTGCTCGTTCAATCCCGCAAACCCATGTTGCTTTGAGAAGACCACTCCCTCCAGGGTAAGAAGTTAACTTGATGTCAGCCTAGTTGAGACTATTAACCTCATTTGAGTTCTCCCTCCCTCTCTCCCTGCTTTCCTACCACAGAAGAGACCCATAATATATTCAGCAATCGTAGCCCGTGGGGAGTATCTGATAATTACTTCCAAGGTGGAGCATATTTGATTAAGGGAGTGTGTATAATGAACTGTGAAGAAGAAATATGAGGTATTGAAAAGAGGAAGGTATTCTCCGCAATGTGATTTGACAAAATGAATTTAAAATTAGGAAGACAGTTAAGGAATAATAAATTATTTCCCCTTCGCGTGCTTTCGTTCCATGTATTTTACAAATGCACAGCGAACGTGCTTCAGCCCGCTGTTCTGCTGCTGAATGCACTCAGAAACGTGAGGGAGAGAAACGTGGGGAGAGCCTGCTCTTCTGCTGTGGTTCCTTTTATCTCGGGAGCGGGGAAGTCCCTCCTTCCCCGCTGGCATCTGCCCGGTGATCCGCTCCCATCCCTCCCACAGCCATTACTCACTGCCTGCAGAGCGGCTCCGCTGCAGACAGAGACTGTAATTATGGTGATGGAGGAGAAGCAGGTAAAGCTGCTGTGCAGAGGGGAGGAGAGCAGCTGGTTACGGAGCGTGGAGGAGGACGTGTGGACCTTTTCACTGAGCTACTCCGAGGGACTTCTAATCTCAGCTTTTAGTTTGGTTTGGAAAGCAGAGCCTGACAGGACCTGACACGCGCCTGGATCTTCAGCACTGAGCTCTTGCAGCTTTGCCTCGGTCCCCAGGAAATTATAGAAAAAAAAAGAAAAAAGAGTTCAAGGGAGATTTTTGTTTCATGGATGGACTCTGAAGGCAGACTCACTCTTGATGTTTTCAGCTGTTTCTATAAAGTAGGAGAAAAGCATAAGATAGAACTAAGTGTGCTCTTTGGAAGGGGTGAATTGGGAATGATGCTTTTAAGGAAAGAAGTATAGAAAAGAGGGGAAGATTCTCAGAATTATTTCTCTTTTCTTCAGGAATGATTCCTTAGCATAAAAGAAGAAAAACAAGGCCTGGAAAGTTGATAAAAATGTTTTGCCTCTTTGTTTGCTGTTTTTTAACAGGAACGGGGGTTCTGAATAGGAGAGATCTTCTCCTGAGAAGGACTTTTCCCAAACCTCCCAGGACATGGGCTCATTTCTTTGGTTTTATCCATTTACTGAGCTTAAAACCACAAAGATCACTTCCATGAAGGGGCAGAATTATCTAGTACATGGCAGAGCCTGTAGGAATGTAGAATCTTCTCTCCCTTTTCTCCAGCCAGGCTCCAGAAGGTTCATATTTGAACAGGGGTGGCTCCATGGCCGGGGAGCAGGGATGAACTTGTTTACTGAGATGCTTTCATTCAGCTGCCATCTGCCACAAAAACCTGTAGGAATTTCTCTGTCCTATAGGAAGCTGATGCACAGCAGTTTTTAAATGCTGCTGAGAAGTGCTGCAGGAAAGAAATCACTCACAATGATAAGTTTAGTTGGTCCTGCGGCCTCCAGGAACACGTAAATAAAGACTATGAGTCTGCAACAGCAGGGGAAGAAGAGTTGGGACTGTTCTTCTTTCTGAAGCCCCCTTCTCTCTCTGAAAGCCCTCGTCAGCCAGAGGTGTGTGCTGTAGAGGTGAGCAGTGGTGCAGCCCACGCTGGTGGGCTGAAGACATGAACCTCAAGTGACATGAACCCTCAAAGGACACGGGGACCACTGGGTGCACTGGTTTGATTTTGCCTTGGGGTGGCCATGGAGCCACAGTGACTTTGCTGCTTTGATCGAGTGGTTTCTGAGGCTGCAGGCACCGAGCAAGAAGCTGCAGTACTCCAAAGAGATGACTTCTAATTGCCCCAGCTGGAATTTGGCCTAGAAAATGGGTTTCTACACTAACTGAAAGAAGGAAAAAAAAAGGGGGGGTGAAGGAAAAATACGAAAAAGAAGACAAAAGAAAGTCATAGGATCTTGTAATGCAAGTTTGTGAAGTCCTTGATTCAATGCTTTTCTAGAGGTGGCCTGGGGAACAAAATAACATTAAGTCAATGTCATGGAAGTCGATTTCATTATATTTTTTTATGAGCAGGGGTACAATTGCCAGCATCCTGGCCAAATCCCATCTGCAGGATCTTTAGTTTTGCTTTTTAAAACGCCCATGTAGCTGCATACAATGCACTCCCTCCCCTGAAACATCTGGGTAAAGGTGATGGTGCAGGAGGGCTACCCCAGAACTGGCTGTTGTGATCTGTGTTGCAGCTTGTCTGCAGTGGTCAGAAACACTGGAATGCACATTTTGACATCATAGGTGAGTCATTATACAAAATGTGGTAAATGCCATTTATCCTCCACTGCAGTTAATTCCTGCTTCTTGTCGCACCACACTTCACATCACCCAAGGTGTGCCAAAATGCAGTCTGCTCCCTGACTGAAGATACTTCCTGAATCCCCTTGGTTGCAACGAAGAGCTGAGCTGACTCACTTTTCTCTCCTCTCCCCACAAAGGAATACACCATTGATGTCTTTTTCCGGCAGTCCTGGAGAGATGAAAGGCTGAAGTTTGATGGTCCCATGAAAATTCTTCCCCTGAACAACCTGCTGGCCAGCAAGATCTGGACTCCTGACACCTTCTTCCACAACGGGAAGAAATCTGTTGCCCACAACATGACAACACCCAACAAGCTGCTGCGCCTGGTGGACAACGGCACCCTCCTGTACACCATGAGGTAGGTTTGTGTCTCCTGGCCAGGGTATTCCAGGTCCCTGCACACATGCAGGCCAGAATGGGACCTCAGGGTTCATGACAGCAGGATTTATGCAGACTTTCACTAACTCTGTTAGCCCACTTGAGCCTCACACTGCTGCTTTCTCTGCTACCCTTGTTTCCTACCTATGTATCATCTCTGATCCTCAACTTCTGCACGTTTTTACAGGTAGCTTTTTCCTCATCATTCATGTTGATATTTTTTTCTTTTATGTGATGAGGTAGAAGTGTTGGGATCTATAATTTGTGAGGTTGATGCTCTAGCTGATATAATTTTGTTCCTGACCTGTGATGGGTTATGAATCAGGTATCCAGTGCTGCTAGGGAACAATAGGAAGGGAGGATTTATTATTCTCCAGCAGCTTAAGAACAGACCTAAATTTGTTCAGCATGTTACAGCAGAGCCATTTCAAACATCTAATGAGACTGAGCTTGCTTGTGAGAATGATGGGGTTGTTTTGTTCCTTCTTTGTGGAATCAGAAGCCTGGATCTGGGTGATCAGTGCACATCATTAGGAAAAAAACCCCAAACAACAGCTTCTTAAAAACTGTGCTTTGGAGAAGCCGGGTTCTAGGGGCCATCTGAAGTTCTAGGTTTAACCCAGCCTATGTTACCCCCTCCTGGGATGTCAGGGAGAGCCCTGAACAAGAGGCAGCACCTCTTGGGTTGCCCAGCACCAGCCTGGGCAACCTCCCTGTGAGCTCCAGCAACTGGGGCCTTCCTCTGAAAGCACCAGTTGCTGTTGGGAAACTGTGCCTGGGCAGTCCTGTCCGGGTATCTCAAGAGCAGCCCTGGTACATAACATTTTTCATTAAGCTACAACAGTTTGAGAGCAGGAAGAGAAATGCCTTTGGGTTAATGGTATGTTCATTCCAGAACTATTCAGATATTTCTGTACACTTGTAAGCTGTTCACCCACGTCAATAATGTTTGCCCCCCGAGGTTGATGTACTAATTTGCCTTCTGAGGTAAACGGGCTTATAAATGAAAGAACAAGTTACTCATAAATGCACACGAAAGGTATTGAGTTGATTTTGGAAAGGTGTAAATCTTTGTTTAAAAAATTTGTTCACTCTGTCTCCATCTTCAAGCCAATCCTAACTTGTAACAGGCTTCATTGTGGATTCTGTGTGCTGAGATGATGCACTTTCACCTCTGTTTTTGAGGACCAGGCAGAATTTCATCTCTTCATAGTCGAACTGGCTGTGAATCTACGTGGTGTCAGCAAGTTTTACAGCCTGCATTGATAAACAATGCTCTGCTTTTGTGCAGCAGTTCTCTAATATGAGCTAATCCTGCCAGTGCCCCGGGGGTTTAGGTCTCCACACATCAGTGATCTCACATTAAGGCAGATGGGGTAAATGAAGGGAGAAGCCCAACTTGACTCAAGGGCTCAATTCTGCTCCCAGCTCTCTGACCTGCATGTAGACAACTTAACACTCCCCCTGTTCGTATCGTTGTCTGACTGTGAAGTATTATAGGAGCTGCTGCCAAAAAAAGAAAAAAAAAAAAAAAAGGACTCAACTTCAGAGCTTTTATATCATTTCACTTCTTCTTTATTCGGCAAACAGCCATTAGCTGCAGCAAGTTTTGTGTGACTAAGAAAGTATTGGATTTATGTTTCCGTTTAGGGCTGGGCAGGTGCCAGGATGGCAGCATCATGAGACTCTTGGGAATGAGCTTCTGGAAGAAAACAGAGCCATGGGTTTTTTTTAAATAAAATCGAAACATCCTTCATTTTAACTGTATCCTGAAGAACTGGGGGATGAAGGACCTCCTTTTGGGTATGCTCCTGCCCACCTTAGATATACTTTTAAGGCTTTGTAAGAGGTGAAGAGCCCACTCAGAGATACTCAGAAAGGAAGATGCAAGGGCACAGACTGCATGGGCCAGGACCATGCCTTGGGCTCAGAGACCAAATCCTGTCTGGCTTTGCCACTCCTAGGCACTCACATCTTGATTCCTCTGTAAAATCATGACAAGGGTATCAGCTTCCCTTTTTAAGTGCTTTGAAACCTCCTTCCAGGCCAGGGTTGGAGGGAGGCTCATGTTTTATGCCCAAGTGTCACATTTACTGTCTTCCCCCATACCCAGGGGCAGGCATATGTGTCCCTCTCAAAGGAAAGAGCAGGACCACAAAGCCAATCTCAGCCTCACACCACTGACATCCAGCATGGATGGGCAAATCCCAGAGAGGTACAGTCTGTCCTGATGACTGTGGAGCAAGTCTGGACTTTCACCAGGTTTCCACGGGCCTGGCAGGACTGCCCAGGTGTTCCCTTGCAGGCTCAGTCTAGACTGGTACCTTGCCATGCAGTTTGACTCCTGAGAACATCCTGCTCCTTTACCTTGTACCAGCCAATATCCTTGAGGCATCAGTTCTGCTGATGTGCAATTAGAGGCACGTCTCCTGCCATTTATCCTGCTGTGAAAGCCAACTTCTCTTAGTCAAGGCTTGCAGTTATAGATGAAGTTGCTCTGGTGGAACAGCAACTCTGTCACACACATCCAGCAAAATTACACCTGTGTGACAGTATTTATAGCTCCTGGAGAGAGCCTCTTTATCACTGACCTGAGCTTCAAGGAGTCACACACCAGCTGTAGCCGAGCTCCCAGAGATCTCCTTTAGTCATGGCACAGTCTCCTCGGGGATTGGTGCAACATCACATCTGACCAGGGGCAGGCCTTGGCACCTGGGTGACAGTGTGGCCTGTGTGACCACAGCACAGAACTGCATTTCTCTATTCCCCAGGGTTACTGATCCCTCTGCACCTTCCCTGCCACCCCAGCTGCCTTAGAGGGCACGGGGAACACAGTTTTATTACGTAGCTCTGCCTCTGCTCCTTTTTGTGGAGCTCCTACAAGATCCAGGTAGTTCACAAAAGCTGGGGTCTCAAAGCTCTGGTGTCAGACCTGAGCACAACACACTGGGAATTGTGCATGGATTTACATAAGGTAGAGACAAAAGCTGAGCTGCTGCAGCAGTCTCTGGATGTACTCTCTGGTTCAAACTGTGTGGGGCACGTAGATAATGTTCTGGTTTTTCCTGGCCTTGAAGCATACGAAAATAGTGAAAGTTTAATGCTGTGCTGATGGGATTCAGCTTTGTGAATCCAGGCTTTAAAAAAAGCTCTCCTGCTCTTAACAAGGACTGTCAGAATGGCATGTTGAGGCTTTGTGGTTATTGTCACAGTGGTTCCCAGACAATAGGTGCTCAAGTTAGGCACTTAGAGGATGTTTTCTTTACCTGTCAGGCTGACAGTCAGCTGCATGTCCAAAGACTTTGCCTTGAGAGCCTGTGTTGCTGAAGAAAACAGAAGTCCTTGGTGGCAGTGCATGAGCACTGAGGAAGGAGGGTCGGGGAACCCTGGGGTGAGTCAGAGGCAGAACAGGAGGGAAAGAACATCTGCAGACATACAGGGGCTGTTGAACCCCACGTAACAAGTCCTCTGCCTATTATAATATGTTCAGGGGGTTGAGCTGCCCATGCTGCTTCTTGAAGGCACAGAGCTTTCCAGGGTCTCCTTCAGCAAAGGCTTTGGGGTGGCTTTACTGCCTGGGTTTTTTTAACGCCCAGACAACCTGTGATTGCCCCAGGCTGGAGGTGGAACACCCTTCCACACAATGGAGGTGCAGCCTCTCTGCAAGAGCAGCAGCTGGGACATCCCAGCACTGTTCTGAGTAGTTTGGACTGGCAGCTATGTGGCTGTGTCCCACATCAGGGCCGATCCCAGACAACGGCACAGACAGATCCAAGCAGACCAGAGCTAGACTGACTGATAAACACACAAGCAGGCAGATAGACTAGATGAGATTTGCTCTTGCTTTTCCCTGCCTTACAGTTTCCAGAGCGGATCCACAGACAGAAATGATCTGTTTTCCAGGCTTGGCTTTGTGCAGGCAGACTTTTATAAGGAAGCTGCCCCAGGAGGGAGAAATCTTCAGAGAACACCTTATCTCACTGCATTTCTGCCATCATGAGCTGAAATCTCCAAGGGCCGGGGGAGGATGCAAAGTGAATTCAGTGCTTTCAGATCCAGCACGCGGATCCTAGAAGCAATTTGGCTTTCAAGCTCAAATCCTGGCAATTAAACCTAACCTAGATTCTCACACAGCCTAAACTGTAAACACTCTTCGGCCTGACTGTGGTTATTAATGAATCTCCTGGAGAAGAAATCAGGACAAAACTCGAGCAGCATCCCTGGCATAAACAAAGTCAGTTCCGCTGTGCAGGGCGCTGTCATGTTTTTGTACCACTCATACACCAAGGGATTATTACATTTGCGTCCCAGAAATTGGACTGAGGTTCTGGCTCATCCTGCAGCACGACGCAGGTAACGACAGGGGCTCTAATGACACATCAAAGGCTTTGCTAAGCTCCCGGTAACCATGAGAACGAAGCTGAAGTGGTTTGTTATCCCGTCAGCCCTGGGAGAGGTGTGTTCAGCCTGATTCACACTCCTTGCCATTGTGCTGCGCAGTTCAAAGGACTTCCCGTTACTTTAAAGAGAAAAACATGGTTTCTGTCCTGGATGTTCCACTTTTGGTGCCAATTGTGCCAGCACAGCGAAGAGAAAACACGAGGAGTTTGGGGTTTTACTTCAGGTTAGTTCTGCATAAGTTGTTGCTGGTTCCTAGGACAGATGAGCCAAAGGATACACCGGCTGGATGATGTGATTGCTGGCAGCCTGGCTATTTTTTACATGCTGTTTAGGCTTTCTAAGGACATTTCAGAGCTCAGATGTCTGGACCTGAATGGGCCATCAGAGCACTGAAGCAAAACCCGGTGGCTATCTGGCCATAAGCTCCCTTGCACCGGGTAAGGGGCACAGATGAGAATTTCTGCAATAAACTCTTTTACCTAAATGCTGCAGAAACAGAGGTAATTGTCTGGGAAGTGAGATCCATTCCTTGCCGTTTGACATTTTGATGTTTCATTAAGCAAAGCATATGGTGCTGAGAAGTCCTTCCCCAGCGACAGGAGGTGGGGGGGAGCAGAAGGGGATTGTGGGCACTCTCCACAGCTCACCTAAACACCTCTGCTAATCAAGGCTCTGAAAGATGAGTGTGTGTGCAGCAGGAGAGGCTGCAGGAGCAGAGTGGAAGGTGGCCAAGGGATGGGGTGGGCAGGAAGGTGCAGCAGCACACCTGCTCTGGTCATAGGGGGAACATCCCAGGAGTCAGCACACCCCCCACACGTGGGGATAAAGCAAAGGGGGAACACCTGGGAAGGGGGAATACCTGTGTTGCTTTCCCCCCTCAGCAGGAAGACTGACTCCCTTTGTGTGTCATCTGTGAACGTGCTGACTTCTGACTGGCTGAAGTTGCTGAATCAGACTCGTCTCGCTGGAGTGATATGATTTTTTTTCTTTTTTTTAATTTAATTTCAGGAGATTTTAAAGCTCCTTCAGTTGTAGGTGGAGAAGTAGCTGATTAGGTTGCTTTTTTGGTGGTTTGTTGGTGGGTTGATTGTTTCCTTGTTTACTAGCTCAGCTAATAATACAGGGTTTAGATTTAAAATGCAACTGGTGCGTTCCCACAAACGTATGGAGTAACCAGCATCCATATAAAGTTGTCTCCTTCCCTTGACAATACATGTTCTCTTTGGCCATGGCCTGGAGAAGGCAGGAGGGTATGACCAAGGCCAGCTTGTCCTGCAGTCCATTCAGCCTTATTCATAGTGGCTGTTGGTCACAGACAAGACTTGCAAACAGTACAGTGGATGGAAGGGACTTTTCTGATTTTTTTAGGGTGAGTTCAGGATCCATCAGAGGGGAAACACTGATCAAAGGAGAGGTCCTTTGTATAAGCCAACTTTGGGAACTCCCAGCAAAGAGCATTTTGACATAATAAAGAAATTAATGATGTCAATGAAAAAAAAATAGGAAGGTAAAAAGGAAGTGTCTTATGTGGACTGCTGAGGAAGAAAGGGAAAATGCATCAATATTTCCTTGACACAAGTGACAATGACAAAATGAGAAGCAAAAAGTTCATTGCAGTGGGAAAGGACACAGAAAGAATTGAATAATAAACTCTGTGAGGATATGCTTGACAAGCTCACCAACCATGAGCTCCTCCTGTGGGTTTTGAGCTGGCTGAAGAGAACATCACAAAAGATACAGAACAGGAGCAGCAAGGCTGTCGAGTCCCCACCTTGCTGCCAGGTTTTCATACCTGCTTCTTGAAATCCTAATCTTCATCCAGATTGCAAAAGGGAGGCATCAGAGCAAATGAGCAATTTGTTCGTGGTGGCCTCCGGGTGTCCAGGAGAAAATCATTGCAGCAATGTGCTTGTAGGGTTGTCAAAATCGCTGCCAGTCTTTCCATCCACTTCACTGAGTCTTGGTAGAAGCCTAAAGATCAGGTCTTCCTCTCTTTCATGTAAAACAAATGCATTCCATCCAGTGATGAGGGAGAGATCATCAAGTCAGAGAGAGTGATTTGTTTCCAAGAAATTAGATTGGCCACACAGTGGTTCTTGGCTTGGCTGAGAAAGCCACGCTGGAGCCAGACATAATGCAAGCAGGACAGTCATCATCACCTCTTTGTTAGATTATTACAGGACCCAGTGGTCACTGTCTGTGACATCCCCTGCTGCCCCCCAGCCACACCCATCCCGCTTTGTTTCCCCCACAGGGGTTTTTAGAACAATTTGTCGAGGGTTTGGTTTTGTCCACCGGATTTTATTGTGACAAGTTTTAAAAAACAGTGCTCTTTTGTAGAACTGTTTAAGGTTCGTCCACCTGAAAGAAATAACCTTTATTTTTATTTTTTTTTTATTCTTTGCTTTTAGCAAATAAAATCCAAAGCCTGTATTTTTTCAGGGTTTATTTAGCATTTGCCTAAGCCTCAGTATTTTCTGTGAAGAATAACTTAGCTGAACATTTTTCTAGGTGAAGGAAAATATCTCAATAGAAGCTTCTTGACCTGAGTTTTCCTCTAACCACCATCAGCCTCAGGTCTGTGCACTTGCCCTTTGCATCCACATGTTGCTGCTGTCATGGTTTGTTTCCTGTTTTGCTGAGCCATCAGAAGTGAGTCCTTTCTTCTACAAATGGTTCCATCAGAGGAGACTGTATTAGACATCTCCTGGGAAGCTGTTTGTTCTCTCTCCCCCTCCTCAGCTGCACACTTTGCAGTACTTCAGGAAGGAATATGAGCTCAGAACTAGGTTTTTTTTAGACCCTTTTATAAGGGATCCTTTTATGCCTGGCCCCATATTCTGCAGCACGCTGCTTTTATGGCTGTGCCTCCCTCACAGAACTGCTTCCTGACAAGGTATCCTCCAGGGGTTTGGTGGATGTGTGAAGCTCACAAGTTGTCCTGCTCAGCCCCAAGCAGCTCCAGGACATGCAGTTCTGCATCTACCTGCAGTGCCACCAGTGAGGGAGGAGCCAGGGAAGGTGGGATGAGTTGCCCCACATGGAAAGGAGTGTGTTTACCCTGGTGACTTCATGGATCTGACTGACTTTGTTCAGCCCAACAGTGCTGTGGCTTTGTGATTGAACAATCTGCCAGCCCTCAGCTCTCTCCAGACCGCCGTGAAGAACAGGCCTGTTCCCTGGAATCCCTTTCCCTCTCTTTCCAGCACAGTCCATGAGATGTCCCCTGGCCCCAGGCATTAAGGAGCTCTGTTCACAGTGCATAAGCAAACAGAAGTCCTGGGCTTTGGCAGGTTTTCCAGTTGCACTGAGCAGGTGAAGATGAACTCGGTCAATAGGGTTGGGTTTGTGCAATGGAAAAGGTTTCCAGATCCACGTGCCTGCTGTTCTCTCCACAGCTTTCTGCCCAGAGACCCAGAGGCTGGTGAGCACGTGAGCTGCTGCTGCTGGATGCAGGAAGGGCCGTGGCAGAAGGGCCAGGGGTGTCTCTGACCGTGCCCTGTGCTTTGTCTTGCAGGCTCACGATCCACGCCGAGTGCCCCATGCACCTCGAGGACTTCCCCATGGACGTGCACGCCTGCCCGCTGAAATTTGGGAGCTGTAAGTACCCTGATAAAACCTCTGCAAGGAAGTGAGGTTCTCTCTACAGAGCTAAAGAGAAGTCCTTTGTGTGACTAGTGTTACCCAGTATTCTAGTAACAGTGTTATTAATTATTGATAATGATAATTATCATTAATTAATGACCAGAAATGTTTTCTTGGCATCTCATGGCAGTGATGGGCTGATGGTTCTACTCGATGATCTTTGCCAACCTTACTGATTTTATGATTCTAAAACTGAGATATGTTTTTCCTGTCCTGTCCAGCTTCCCTACATCCCTCCTGCCAGTCTGGGGAGACCCTGAAATACTTGGTTACTCTGGCTCCGTGCCCCAGTGGAGCTTACAAACCTCTTCAGTCTGTCAGGCAGGTGGCTCTCAAAGTAAAAGGCTTGGAAACTCTGGAAAGCTCAGTCCCAACAGCCAAGGGTTCTGGTTTAGGGAAGATTTGCTGTCTGCTGGTGAGGGGAAAGCTGCTCCCAGCCTCCCAGGCTTGCAGCTGCTCAGCTGCTTGGGCTTCCCATACCCTACCCAGGAACAAGTTTCTTCTTGTCTCCATACATGAGTTAAATTTTATTTGGTTTTGTTCCTAAAAGTGAGTGGGAGCCAAACCCCAAGCCAGTGGTTCACCATAATGTCAAAATAAAATTCCTAGTCTGGCTGTGCCTGGATTCTTCTCCAGGTCCAATGAACTGAGCACCACTCTTAGTCCATGTTTGCATTAGATGAAAAGAGTTACCCACCTCCAACTACAGACTGAGCCCACACCAGTAACCTCCAGAAAAATCCCAACTTTCTTAAACTGATACTTCCTTCCTGTAGCCATTTGGGAGCTAACTAAGGACAAAGTTGAAAGGTTTGATTGACAGCAGAAGAAATCGTGTTTATCATGTGCATCTGCTCCTCTGCCTCATGACAAACTGTACCCGTGAAACTGGATTATTCAAAACTACTAAAATAAGGCTATTTTGTAGGCAGCACCTAATTAAATGTAGAACTCATTGCCACAAGACATCACTAAGGCCAGTAAAATAGCAAGCCTTAGAGAAGGATGAATTATTAATGTTAATTGACCTTGTGAGGAGGGATATAAAACCTCATACCTCAGGCCTAAACTCTGGGATTATTACAAGACTTGCAGGAAGGCAGATTACTCCACATCTAATTGCTTATAACGTTTCTTGGTGAGGAAAAGAGATTAATGTGTATATTTCTGCTGGAACACCCTTTGGGTTTTTTTTTTTTTTTTTTTTTTTTTACTGATTTGGCCTCTGAATGATGAGAGTCTTGAGACAAGCAGCTCAGAAAGCTGCCCCTGGTTAACATTAATGTGGCTCTTTCTAAAGCACCATCTGCATGGCATCAGAGCTCACCTCTCCTGTGTTGGAGAAGGATTAAACCAGTGTTTTCACTAAAAAGCCATCAACAGCTGGAAGCTGGAAGCTTCGTTTTCGAGAAGCCTAAAGTGGGTTAGGTTTGTAAGTGGAAGGACAATGCTGGTAGCAGACACATGTTATTCAAGGGGCAGCTGAATTTGCCTCACAGGCCACTTCCCACAGATCCCCAGAACCTGAACGGCTCATAAGAGGCCTTCTGTCCCTGTGCCACCACGGCAGCCCCCCAGGGAGGGAAGGCAGAGCATTTGCAGAAGAATTGAGGGCATCAGGCCTTCCAGAGAGCTTCAGCTGCCCACCTGCATCATTCCTGGGGCCAAGAGCAGTGAAGATGATGATCACCACGCTCCCGAGAAGATGAACGTACACCACAGAGAACTGTTCCTAAGCCATCACAGGGCGTTTGTGCAGCAGCTGTCTGAGACCAGGGTAGCAGAAGATGTTGCTGAAGTCACCAGCTCCACTAAATGCCCAAGAGCTGTCCTTGTTTGGGCTGGATTGGACAGCATTGCAAACAAGGCGTCGACAGAACCAAAACTGATACGTGGCATTAAAGATGTTCCTCACATCCATGCCACGCCTATGTGACACTGGATACCCTTTTGTCTCACACAGCCAGATGTGCAGACAACTGAATTTTCTAGATAAAAATTCAGGAATTTTTATAGACATTCCTGAATTTTTAGGGATGATGGCAATGAAGCTGTGGGTAGGTTCCCTTTGCAGGCTGGGAGTGGCACTAAGTGAGCTGTGACTGCTGGAGCAGGAGGTGTTGCCTATCAGGTGAAAGAGCAGTGGCAGAGCTGTACAAGCTCTGAAGGAGGATGGAGCTCTCCAGAAGCATGTTGAGAGCTGGAAGGAAGGGTTGGAAAAGCAGAATGTTGCACGTGGAATGAGAGGTGCCAGCCTGCATCATCAGAAGTGCTTGGGCAGCACACTGGCATGCTGAGAAACATTGGCTGATCATCAAAGCCACTCACCCCACTTTGCACAGCTCCTGGTTAATATTTGACAGGTTTGCCAGCACCTACAGTGCAGGAGTAACAGCGGTTGTTTTAAAAAGATCAGAGAAATCTGGTTTTCTCAGGACACAGTCTTCCACAAAGCAGGAGCTGAGACATTTCTGTAGCAGACCTGGCCCATTGCTCGACCTGTCTGCAGTCAAAGAATTCCTTAACGTCTTAGTAAGAGGAGCTGGTGGTAAAAATTAGTTCAAAGCCTGGTTTAGTGAACTATGTTCTTGCTTAAAAAACTGGTGCAGAGTTGCAGGAACTTCCTGCACAGGAATTTTGGGCATTATGGGGAGAAGTAGCTCCTAACAGAGTCTGGAGAGACTCAGTTTCTGGAAAACCGTAGGACTGGCAAAGCCAAAAGCTTGTGGGCGTTGTTGAGAGAGGGACTGGCTATGGGGACAGAGCAGGAGTTTGGTCACAAACACAGGGTCAGGCAGGGAAAAAGCATTTTGGTGGGAGAGCACACCATCTCCAAAGCTGAGAGAGACTTGCTTCTGAGTGAGGGTAGAGATTTTTAACTTTTTCTCCTCAACCTAATATTTAACCCCATTTGTGTTTAGCCTTTCTTGCCAGCTGCTGCCAGCATGACATTCCCTGTCCCTGGCATGGCAGGGCTGTGGCTGTCCTGCTGCCCCAGTCTGCTGGCCTGGATGCCTTCCTATCTCATCCCTGCTTGGAGCCAGCCCTTGCAGAGTCAGCACGTCAAGGGGACAGCATGTCTCTCAACGACAGTGCTCTGCCCCCTCTCCAGCTCCCTTCTGAAAACCCCAGCTCCCTCCTGCTCGTCTGATTTAACAGTTGTTGATCTGCCTTGGTCTCTGGCCATGCTTGGCTGTGCTCAGCCATGTGGTTCTGAGAAATGCATAGCAAAGATTAATTTGGCCACAGGCTAATTCGGGTATATTTTAGGTCAGGCAGAAGCACAAACCTCATTCTTCTTCCCCCCTCTGCAGATGCCTACACGAAGACAGAGGTGATCTACACCTGGACACTGGGGAAGGATAAATCCGTGGAAGTGGCAAAGGGTGGATCTCGCCTGAACCAGTACGACCTGCTGGGCCACGTCGTTGGGACAGAGATGGTTCGATCCAGCACAGGTACTTGTGGGACCATGGTGTGGTGCATGGGCTGAGCACATCCTGAGATGAGATGGATCCATGGTCTTGGAATGCCATGATTGTACTTCCACAGCACTTCCCGAGCCGCGTGCTGTTGGAGAAACTGGCTGGTGACATCTACAGCAGTCACCAAGAGGCAGTAAAGAGTTTAGTTTTAAGCGGTTTCCACTGAAAGAGCCTTATCATCCACAGTCTTCAGGAAAACTGATCTCAAGCATCTCAGTATGATCTGTTGTGTGGAAAATTTGCCCTGCATTGTCCAGCTGGTCCGTGGTACTGTGGGTTCATTTGTCTTGGATTCCTTTCCAGCCCCTCAGGAGAGCGCTGCGGGCAGGGCAGGCGAAAGCAACATAATGTCCAGTGTGATTTTCACTGCATCTGCTTGCACAAATATTATCATAGCTAATAGAAGATTATCCCAAACAAATGTTTCCTCTGATTAATGACCAATATTAATCATCTTTCTCTCCCATCTGCTGCTCCTCCCTTCCCCTCTGAATCCAGGTACTGATAGCTTCTGTTATCTCATGTGTGTCTCTCATATTTCCTTTTTTTTCTTTTATTTTTTCTTCTGTATGCACCAGTAGTTCTCTCATTTGAGGATATTTCCTCTCTGGTGCACTTGATTTTAATAGTGTCTGTCTGTAACAACTCATTTCACCTCCCTTGGGGAAATGTGGGGAGCCCAGGGAACTAAATGTCATAATATCTGGCCCATCTCTCTACTTAAGTTGTAGTAAAATGTACAGATGAATAACCTGAAGTGGTAAGAAAGCTGCTAAAGGCTCCTGTGTGTAATGATTTAGCAGAGCCACGCACACAACATAAAGGCACAGTAATCCAACAAAATATCCAAAGCTTTGAGAGGAGGAATAGGACATTGAGGGAAAATAGGGACAGCTGCTTCTTTGGTTCACAGGCCAGACCTTTTAACAACAGAATTTGTCCTGATTTTTGAGATGGTTTAAGTGTGGCAAGGTGGAATATTTTCAGGATTGTAAAAGAAAACAATATCCTTTGTCCTAAAATCCTGCTGCAGCACTGGAGGGTGCCAGGGCATGCCAGCCAGGAACAGGATTCCATTGCAGAGCTTGGAAGTTTCTTCAGGACAGACCTTTAGTGGCTCAGAGCTGGACGGGTGGGCAGCTGGAAGGCACGGGGGGCTCAGCAACTCTGACTGGCTGTCTCTGCAGGGGAGTACGTCGTCATGACCACACACTTCCACCTCAAGAGGAAGATTGGCTACTTCGTGATCCAGACCTACCTGCCCTGCATTATGACTGTCATCCTGTCCCAGGTCTCCTTCTGGCTTAACAGGGAATCAGTTCCTGCCCGGACGGTTTTTGGTGAGTCTGGGAGCTCAGGGGCGTCCTCTCATGTTGGGGGAGAAAGGCACCACAAATGAGGGGAAACAGACTTAAATCAGAGCTGGTCTTCTCCAGGCCTTGTCTGGCATCACTGAAGCTGCTGATGATTCCCCAGCATAGCTTTCAGTGTCTTCCCGGTGCCCCTGCTTTCCCCAAATCACTGTGAAAATACTCCTGTCCCCATTTCTGCTAGAAGCCAAGCCATAAATGTTAACAGTAATCAAGGTATTGACCATCTAATTGTATGCATTTGGCTGTGTCTGCTTCTCTGTACTGACTTTTGAGTTGAGGAGATCATGGGTACATGGAGAGGCATTTGAAGCTCTACCTCTGAAATTGCTGATGTGCCTCTGGTCAAAGCTCCACATAACGAGTTCCTGGGCTGAGGCAGCATAACTGCACGGTGAATATAGTGTTATTATTTCCTTCAGCTGGTTTCAGATCCTCTCTCCAAGGCAAAGTGTCAGGCTGGCATGGCACATATATTAATAGCTTTCACAAACATTTAATAACAGAAGTGCTTTGTGCTTCCCTGTTGAGACCTTTAGCTCGGGATCTGCACAGAGCAGGTGTGGTGCTGCAGGACTGTATTTCTTGGAAGTAACACTGCCCAGCAGATTCCACTTAACAGAGAGTATATTGGACAGAAGTCCCCAAGCAGAGAGGGGTTTATATGGTACCACCTGCTTGTGTTTTTTAATAAGACAGAAATCATTTCAAAGATCATGAAGCACTTTCTCTGTGGCAAGAGTCGCGATGGAAGGACTCCCACAAGCCCAACCAGGCTGATGTCCTCCTTTCTGGAGCCTCTCCACTGGACCTTGTTCCTGTGCTGTGGACTGGAATGGGATGCAGGGAGGATCACAGATATTTCTGTACCCTCCTAAATGAACTAGAAGGGATTTATTATGGTTTTTTGTGTTCACTGGGGATTGTGAAATGTAGGTCATGAACAAGCTTTAATATTTACAGGTGACTCCAGCTTCACCCCATTAGCACAGAGTTGCCTTCCCTTGCCCACTAAGGCAAATCCCACAGAGATTCCCAGGGTGGAGGGCAAACCTAGGTTAGTATGGCCAGACTGGTTTGCAAGATCCAGACTGCAAGAGCTTCACTGAACAGTGGTAATGGTGAAGAAGAGGGGGCACGGCCCCTCAGCAAACATCTTCTGCTCTTTCCATCCAACAGGGTGGAAAAGGGGGAGCTCAGACAGAAATCATGTGGAAAATAGGACCAGCTCAGGCATATAGAGAGTCATTGAGGAAATTTCCTCACTCATCCCTCTGTGAATCCTTTGCAGCTGAACCCCACACCTGGACCCTGTGTCTGCCCAAGTCCCAGGAGGGCTCTTACATCAGCATCTGGAGTATCTGAGCACTCATGACACTGGGGGCTTGATTCTCTCTGGTGTTATCCTGAGAATTGCAGGGAAATAGGTTTTCTCAAGCAGCAGCTCAGATTGAGCAGCAAAGAGCTGACTGAAAAATTAAAACCTACCTTTGTGAAAAATGTCTTCGCTCCCAAATTGCCTTGCTTTCCTATTAAGAAAATAATGAGAACTCCAATTGTTTATTCCTTTTTTTTTCCCTCAGAAAGTATTGTCAACAATATTGAATTGAAACTCTTAAATTACCAGGAGTATGGCTTAAGGGAGCTGAAAATTAGTCAATACTTTTATAACATTTTTAATGCATTTTTAATTGAAAAGCACATTATTGGGGAAAATGGATAGCAATGGTTGCTTGCTTTAATGAAAAAAGCTTTAAAAGGCATTTTGCAACAGATCATCTTTTAATAAGTGTCACCCATTGTGACATTTATTCTGGCAGCTTGGGCCACAGCCTGGCTGAGCTGGTGGGACCCAGGATCCCAGGTGTCCATCCATGCAGGTCACAAGACACCATTTCCAAAATGTTGAGAGAGCCACACTGGATGAGCGGCCAGTTTCTGATCCTCCATGAGGTTCCCAACCATCTAGAAATAATAACAGTATTTTATTGTTTTGATTTTATTGCAAAAGCAACTAGAGGCTTCTCCATGGCATACTGTACATGAGGGAGCTGGCTCTAGGATCGTGCAGCTTACCCTGCCAGCAGGCAAGGAATTGAGTGCAGGTGCCTACCTGTGAGCTAGGACTCCTCTATGGTGAGCAAAGATCTTGCCAATGGAGTTTGGGAAAGGTTAATCTCATCCTATTGAAATGTTTGCCATTGATTATGCCAAAAACCGAAACAGAGACAGCCTTGAGAAACCTGCAGTTGGCTCTGATTTGAGCAGGGTTTGGACTAACTGTTGCCCAGAGAAGTTGTGGCTGCCCCATCCCTGGAAGTGTTCAAGGCCAGGCTGGATGGAGCTTTGAGCAACCCGGTCTAGTGGAAGGTGTCCCTGCCCATGGCAAGGAGGTTGTAACTCGGTGATCTTTAAGGTCCCTTCCAAACCAAACCATTCTGTGATTCTGTAATTCTATGAAACTTCCTGCCAGCCTGGACTGCTTTGTTACTCCACGAATTGCACCACAGACCTGTGCTGGGTAAGACTCCCTTAACTGCAGCGGGAATGTGGCTCCCGTGGCTTGGCAGATGGTTCCTCATTTTACTGATGTATGAAACCAGCGCGTGAGCTGAGGGAAACCGGGATGAGTGTCTGGTCTCACAGCGTCCTCTGTGTCCTGCTGTGCTTCCACAGGTGTCACCACCGTGCTCACCATGACCACACTAAGCATCAGCGCAAGAAACTCGTTACCCAAAGTGGCGTACGCGACGGCCATGGACTGGTTCATAGCCGTCTGTTATGCCTTTGTGTTTTCTGCGCTGATCGAATTCGCCACCGTCAACTACTTCACCAAGCGCAGCTGGGCCTGGGATGGCAAGAAGGTGCTGGAGGCCCAAGAAATGAAGGTCAGCCTGTGGCCAAGGCCAGGGGTGGGGAGGGGGCGGTGAAGAAGCGCTGCAGGAGGGAGCTGTGCCGGGCACAGCAGTGGGTAACGTGCAGCCCCGCAGCACTCGGGGGGCTGGACGCTACTCACTGCCCTTCCCAGCCCAGGTCTCAGCTGGAGCGGTTCTTGAGGGTCGGGCGAGGGGGGGCTCGAGGGGCTTAGCTGTGTTTAGCTGGAGAGAAACCCCCAGCATGGCTGCTTGCTTTTCCCTCTGTCCCCTGCACAGCCATTGCCAGCGGAAACATGGATGTGTGCGTGTTCTGGGCTTGCTCTGCTGGTGGTCTTGTCTCTCTTTCCTTCCCCCTCTAGCCCCAAACCAAACCCAACCCAACCCTCCAAGCCTATTCTTTGTTGCTAGCATGCCACACAAACCCCAGTATGCCACAGGACAGCAGCCCCACCGGTGGGGACAGTCCTTATCTGCTGTGTCCCCTGGCTGTCCCCACCCTGGCTGGTGCAGCAGTGGGCAGGTCTGATGCTTGTGCTGTTGCCCACAGCTGCCAGCAGCTGCTGCCTCGTGAGCTCGGGCAAAGAGGGTGGGTGGGAAGCAAGCAATCACAAACAGCAACTGGCAGCAAATTAGTGCCTGGCATCACCCACGTTTTCCCTCCTCGCTCGGGATCAGCCTCTCTGGCAGCTTCCTTCCCGACAGCCACTGCTACCCCTGCTCGTGCCCCCCTCCCTCTGAGCTGATTTAATCTTGGCTGCGCAGAGAAATCGCTTACTGTAGCATGCTGCTCCTTGTTTATATTTATTGAATCAATTTGAAAATCAGCTTTGTCCTTGTTCTTGGTTCTGGAGCCTTTAAGTTTTTTCTCCTTCGCATTTTGATGTGTTGCTTGAAATCGTTGTGGGGCTGTATGTAAATACCTGACAGAACTGCAGTAACTTTTTGGAAGACAGCAGCCAGTCATCTCTCTGGTGTGGAGGTCAAAGAAGGTGAACAGAAGCCTTATAGAGAGCCATCACTGGGTGTTGAATGCCTCTCTCTTGTCTTTCTTGGATTCTCTATCTGTTTGCTTTTGCAGCTGTGGTCTGAGCAACAGACCCACGGCAGAAAGCCTCCAGAGGAGGCCAGGTGATGGTCTTCCACTTCCATCATGAACAGTAATGCTAACCTGGGCTCTAGAGAAGAGAGAAGCCTTTCCTGAGTCACTGGCATGAGTGAAGAGTCAGAACAGGTCCTCAAAGCAACTGTATCCCTTTCAGGGATGGGCAAACAAGCACAAAATCAGGATTCAAACAGCCTTGGGCAATTATGTGAACTGGGCACAGCAGAAAAAGCAGTAAAGGCTCAAAAGTTCAGTTTGTCTGAAAAGAAGCGTGTTTATCAATTTATTCATTGACCCAGCACCGCAAGACTAACAGTGCTGAAACAATAGGGTAAGAGAATGCAGAATGTTTGTGCACATGGTAAATCAAACAAGAAAACAAAGCAGGACCAGGAATGCTTCAGAGGGGGTGCTCTTTGTGAGCTTGCTGCAATTGGCATCAGCCTGGATGATCAGTGAGGACTCCAGATTTGTGGATGCTTTTTCAAGCTAACTCTAATCTCTGCTGTCGAAGGCAAACCCACTCCCAGTCTCTGCAGCTCACAGAGCTCCCCAAACAGTGATGGGCTTTCAGGGAGCTTAGGAATATGATGTGTCAACCTATTTGTTTTTCATCTTTATTCCAGTGAGTATTTCCAAGCAGTGAATTTGCTACGCAATGGAGGTGCCTCGTTGGCTCAGTTTCAGCCTTTAATTAGCTCTTCTTGAAACAATTGACAAGCCAGGTGGTTGAAGGCACAAAAGAAAGAGGAGGCAGAAGAATAACTGTTGGCATTTTAAAGTGTTTGCATCAGGAGTAAAACTACCAGTGACAAGCCCAGGCTGGTCTCTGGAGATCCTTCTCCCCAGCCAAAAGCAATGCTCTTTATTGATGTGATGGCAAGGATCCTCACTCCAGGTTTGATTGTTCCCTTGCACAAACATGAAAAAAAAACCAAACCAAAACAGCATAGACAGCAGTGATGCTTCCCATCCCATTTGAGAGAAATCACTACTGTACAAAAGCTGCTGGTTGCTGACAGACACTCCCAGTGTGCTCATTCTCCCTGGGCTGGGTCCATTCTTTCTTTCTCCCCTTCAGCCAAACCGTTGGTTTAGGTGGGGACACCATGTTTTTTTGCAGGTATAATCTGACATGGTGGGCTAATCTTGGTGAATCACTGCTCTCTGCATCATAAAATCATGATGATGTTCTGGCTTTAGCCACGGTTGGGTTCTGGTTTTAGCTGGGAGTGACTCTGCATGTTCTCTGCAGTTCTCCTCTAATAAAAGGCAGGCAGATATCACTATAGTGTCACCAAAAGCTCCCTTTAGCATGAACTCTGATAAGATTTGCCTAATGTTTCTTGGACCCAAAGATTTTCCAAGCCTTTCTTGCCTGCCACCAGTACTTGCTAATTGTAGGTGAAGGATCTATTTTCTTTTGTGTGGTAAACTGGCTGCAACCAACCTAGAGGTGCAGATCAAACTGGAGAGAGGCATCTGGATCCAATGTGGAAAACATGTTAGTAAAGATGATTTTTTTAAAAAACATCATGAGGAAGAAAGTGTGAGATGGCAGTAATGGGAGGAGATGAGTGAGGGGACAAAGAAATTGTGAAAGGTGAGTGGTTTCAGTGGCCAGCAAAGCTCCCTATCTTGGGCATTCTCAAAATATCTTGTTAAAGGGATCCACTTCAGGACAGAAGGACTGTGTCTGAACAGAGTGAGATCCATCCATCCCATCCATCATCCCTTCCATAGGGGTGACCATCTCTGGAGCCAACAAGGTCACTTCTTGGGTGGCAGTGAGGATTCAAAGAGACAGCAATTAATGATGACTTTGCCACTGGGAAGCTGCAAGGATGACATGTACCAGTGAATTTACCACAAAAAAGGTGTTGTCTGTTCCTCAGGATGGAAGGTGCTTTGGATCTTTGGAAGATGATTCCTTTAACCCACTTTTGCCTGCTATGCCATGTCTGTGCATCAAATCTGATCTAGCTCTGTATCTGTGCTTGTCTGACATTGCCCTGAAATTCTGGGTGGCAAAAAGCAACAAAACCATACAAGTAGCTTCAGTCAGACACATGGAAACAAGGAAGAACACACTTTGGATGGAGGAATAATCCTGGATCTTAGTCTTTATCTTAAAGACAATAATTCTTTAGTGCGTGGTGAGGTTACATTCAGGCTTTTTATGTACTTCTCACATGTCTTTTCACTAAGAGAAAGCCACCAAAAGCATCCTCCAGACCTCTCTGTTGATGGTCATCATGATTTTCTTTTTTTGCATTTTGGAAGTGATGGGCATGATCCTCATCTGCATGGGGTGCCTTTTCTACTGACTGAGTAAAGCCTTGCTTTTTGTCCAACCCAGTCTTCAGCAATTCTCAGGTTTGTCCCTTGATCCAGGTCCCTTGGGAATCATTCTTCTTTCTCCTCTGTTTCTTTACATTTGTGGCATCTTTGTTACGACCCTCTCCTTGCCAGCAGAATGGAACTGGAACCAACCTTGACAGGCCACCATTTTCAGCCGGTTTGAAGTCTTTCAGACCCATCTCTTTTTTTTTCTGCCTCACTGTGGTAAATATGCTTTTGCTGGGACTTTCTCTTGCTGGCCATGCTCTGCAGTCTGTGTGTCCTTTGTTCTGCTGCACTTACAATCACCTCTGTGATTTCCATCATGATCTCAGAGGTCTTTTCCAACCTAATTTGTCGTGTGATAGCACTGCAAGTGATTTATGTTCTCAGCACCTTCACTACAGTCCATGAATCAATCTTCAACAGCATTTCATCCTCTTACTCTCAACTGTGTGGCATGTTGGGCTGATTATTAACTCCATCTAACCTCTGAGTCTTTCTCTGGTGATCCAGGGAGCACAAGATCATTGGACTCAGTCCCATGTAATCTAAATGAAGATATGGGAGGGATGAGTGATGCCAAAAGTTGCACCAGCAGCTGACAGTAACCTGGCATTGGCCTGCTGGTTCGTGCAAGGTTGTGTTTTTCAGAGCCTTTGACTCTGCTCAGGGTCCAGGGCTCTTGGTGTAAAACACTTGGCTGCTGTTCCATGGTAGGAGCAAGTCTCTGCAGGGCAGAACTTTGGCTGGAATGAGGAAGGAGTGACATGTTTGCTGGAACAGCAACTGCACTTGCTGGGCTTTGAATTATGGGATACAAGTGTGTCAGAGACTAGAGCTGCTTTGAGGTCATTAAAGTGACTTTTCTGTAGAATGACAAGTAGCAGCCACTTGGATTTCTCAAGTTCTGCAGATATTGGTGACCTTCAGAATTTAGATGGACAGTGCTTCCAACCCAGATTTCTAGCCAAGGAGCAGGTACAGAGAATGGAATCTCATGCAGACCATAGGCAGAACCAGTTGTTTCCATAATTTAGGGGTTCAGTCATTAGTTCCTCAATAGAGAGGCTTGAAGACAAGAATATTTAGCAAAAGTACTATTATTTTCCAGTATGTGTGTTGTTGAAGAACCTGTCAGACTGCAATATCCAGGGAGCAGATTTCTCTCTACACCACTTTCACAGCTCTTTCCTAAGGAGAGCAGCACAGGGATATCTCTGTGCAGCAGTTCAGTCTCCCTGTGCCTAAACTGGGCCATAAATACAGGAGTTGCTTTGGAAACTAGATGTTTTAAATGGGACAAGTTTTCAAAGCAAATGTGGAGTTTCCTTCTGTTTATCCACTCTTCCTCCTGTTTCAGTAACTCCTCACAGATAAAAGGTGCAGGGTGGAGGCTGGAGGCTACTTTGCAGCTGACAGCAACAAGCACGTTTTGCTTTGTTTGATTGTCAAAATCTTGCCTGAAACATTTATTTATAAAGCACAGCCCAGCAAACAGCCTGAACCATTTCTTCTGACATCTCAGGAGCAGAACACAGCCAGAGAACACGTGTGCCTCAGTATAGGCAGTGTATGCCCTGGGTGCTTCCAGCTTGGACCAGGGCAGAAGGCTCCATAGGTGGTTGGGAAAAGGCCCTGGCTATAACTCACCTGAACAGCCTGCTCTGAGGTCCAGAAAAGCCCAAATGGATGCTTAGGGGCTCTGGATCACACTAATAGGAGCAGTAGCACACTGTCACCACCCACAGTGTTCAGATTTGCCTGACTTTACTGTTTCATCCAGCTGTTCTCAGGTGCCTTTAGCCAGGCACGATGGATCCACTCTAGGGCAGAAAAGCTGACCAGGTTGAAAATGTCATGTCACTTGGATTCATCCTATTCCTCTAATGAATAACATGGCTGATTAATACTAAGATAATCACGGTGTACTTCCAATTACATTCTGCAAACAACAATCTGTTTTTCATTTCATTACTGATTATTAATTATTTTATTACCTCCTCTAGCTGTGTTAATAAGTAATCATACTTAAGCATATTTTAATGTTTTAGAAGGTGAAACATCTTTAGCCCTTCATATGCTTCTTGTCAGCTCTTTAGCAGGAAAAGTTCACCCACCGTGCCGGGGGTACATGTCCACGTGTCTCTAATGACTGAGAATCAGTCACTCAGTTAATTGTTAAAGATCACAACAACCTCCCCCATAAAAGACCATGAATATGGTCTGATCAGTGGTTCAGTCTGATCTGGAGCCTGAAGATATTTAGACCTTCTCCTAACAGGAACTTAATTTCTGTAATTGCTGGCATTACTACAAGGCTGCAGGCCTGCTGTGGTGTTATTGGAGAGAGGTTTAAAGATTGCACAGGAGTCTGCTTTTAGTGTCTCTCTGAAAATCACCGTGGAAAATTCATTTCCGAAGGTAACCAGAAATATCCATGGTGATTGTAGTCACATTTAAAATGGCAGTGCAGCTCTGAAAGCTAAAGTCCTGGGAGTATCTCTGCAGAGCAGGCTGGGTGAATCTGGCCTTTCCAGCTCCCAGTGCTACCCATGATGGTGCCTGCCACCAGTTCCCAGGCCCTGGTGGGGAGCTGGACAGGTCCTGCTGGCTGCACATACTGCCCTTCTCCTGACGTGCTCCCCTCGTAGGTACCTTGCCAAGCAGCCCTGGAAAATGCCTGGATGAGCCCTACCTTGTGTTTCAGTTGCTTTGGAATAGAAAATGAGATCCAAAGTCACACCCTGTTCTGAGTTTAGATATCAGTCCCCCCACGAGTCGTTGCTGTGTCTGGTGCTGGCTCTGGGTGTCATTGCAGTGGACACTCATGGAGTGCTGGGATGAGGAGAGTGCCTGATGCCTGAATGTGAATACATTTTGTTCAGTGGCCTTCTCCTTGTAGACCCGGATTGCTTTACACATTATGGCCTGGAGTGCAGCTGGTCTCAGGTCCTTGACAGCAACAGGAAGACCCCCAGAGTGGGGGCAACACCTATCATGACTTCCTAGGTCCGTCCTCCTGTCCCTTCATCCTCATTAACATCTGAGCTGTCTCCAGCACTTTCCATCATCCTTCAGTACATCATGTCTGACACATTAGGGCCTCTCTTGCCGTTTGCTCTGCAAGTTTTCCTCCCTGCAGCATGGACAGCACAGTTTTTGGGAGGGGTGCACTCACCTCCTGTGATTTGCAGCAACCCTTAGGTATGAAGGCAAGATGAGAGGCTTCCCTCTGCCCTGTAGCACTGTGTCGAGCATTCCCGAAATCCAGGGCTTGTGCAAATGCCTTCCATCTGTTCTGTATCTTACCTGGGTAAGCCAGGAGGTGCTCTAAAGAGTTCCAGGAGCATTTTGAGCACCATGGTGTTAAATTGTGAGGTGTTCCTGTGAGGAACGCAGGGCACTGAGGCAGTGTATGAAATGGTGCAAAAATATTGCAGTGCTGTCATCCACATTCTTAAAGCCAGTGGCTGTCTGCCACAAAAAAAAAAAAAAAAAAAATCAACCTGTAATCCTCTGTGCTGTCTCCTCCTCTCACCTGACCCAGGAAGCAGGTCAGCCAAGCAGAAAATCCAGTTCTTCCCCCAGGATGACCATGCAGGGTGTCATTCTTTTTTCTAAAGAGTACGTTCCTGCATCACCTCTCCACGGCTGAACCTCACATGCAGCAAAAGCCACAGATGAGACAGAAAACAAGGAGTCTGCTCAGTTTGAGCCTGCATTCCTTTACACTGACCTTGCAGCTCTCAGCCAGGCTTGGAGTCACCTGGCTGGGGCAGCTACTGCTCAGGTGCAGCAGCACACACCTTGTTACACCACTCCTCTGATCCCAGGGGCTGCTGAGACACAAGCCCAGCTACGTGGCTTCAGTTCTTTGACTTCCAGCAGGACCTGGGTGCCAGTCTAGGACCCCTCTGTGCTACATGCTGTATGCCAGGCTTACATGGACTGGCTGGTCCACCCTAGGCCAGCACATTCTTTTGCTCCAGCAGCCCTCAAGCGCCGGTGGTTATGGGTTCTGGCCATCTTCTCACCTCATCTTCCTTCCCTTCCACAATGCTGCCTTGGTCTCTTGCTCCTCACACCTTTTCCCACCTTCTCACCCGGACAAGCAGGTAAACTCAGAGGACAAAATGTTCTCCATGCAATTTCCAGTCACTTTATCTCTATCATGTTGTGTCTTTTTGTTTTTGTTTTTTTTTTCCCTTCCACCTTCCCTAGAAAAAAGAGCCGGTGGCACTAGCGAAGAAAACCAACAACACCTACAACATTGTTGGCACCACCTATGCCCTCAACATTGCCAAGGACCCCGGCCTGCCCACCATCTCCAAGAGTGCTGCTGCCACTGCTACTGCCACCAACGTGCCCCCGAAGATGCCCCGCCTGGAGGAGAAGCTCCTGGAGAGTAAGAAGACGTACAACAGCGTCAGCAAGGTAGACAAGATGTCCCGCATCGTCTTTCCGGTCCTCTTTGCCATTTTCAACTTGGTCTACTGGGCCACGTATGTAAACCGGGAGTCAGCTATCAAAGGGATGATCCCCAAACAATAAAACCAGTCACACAAACCTTCCATCAGTGAGCATCATCCAAGCAGGAATTCTCCAGGGCTTTCTTCTTTTCTCGTTTTGTTTAATTATTATTGTTCATTTGGTATTATTATTATTATTATTATTATTATTATTATTATTATTATTCCTATTAGATCACTCTTTTATAATGTAAACAAAACTGTGATTTTAATTTAATCCCTATATACTTTAGTTTCGTTTACTTTGCCTCTGATGATGGGAGTTTAAAAAAAAAAAAAACAACAACAAAGGGATCATAACAAGTTGTGCCTCTAACATCATAAGTCTGCTGTCCCCCAAGTCACCCTGTGCTTCCATCTCTCCTCTGCCACCTCCTGTGGTCCCCACAGTATTCATGCCACTGCCATTCCACATTTCACTGATGTCCCCAGGGGCTGCTGCTCTGGGCCATCTCCCCCTCCTCTCCTGCCATGGACTGCCCTAGCATGGGGGATGCTCCTGGTGGCCTGGGCTCCAGGATGTGTCATCACTTGGCTGGGCTCCTTTCAGTGCCTGGCACTTTGTGTGAGGTGACACACCTGGGCTGGGAATGCAGGTGAGCTGGTCACCTCTGGGACCAGGGGAGCCCTGGGACAGGAGGGAGAGGCGTGGCATGGGCCAGCTTGTAGCCCAGTGCCTGCTGGGGGCAAACCTAGCACTGCTGTGGTCCCTGGAGCCATTGCAGGGGTGGAACAGGGTGGCAGCATCTTGTAGGTGGTGGACAGGACTTCTTGCTCTCTGTCTTCACCAATCCCAGCTGCTGGTTTCCTCCAAGTCTCTCTCCAGACAGGAACAGGTGAGAAAGGTCTTGTCTGTCTGCCATCCTGCACTCTTGGGGCAATTCAGGTTAGCAGGTGGTGTGGTTCTTGCCAGAGAAATAATTTTTCTCAGGGTCAGTCAGGGAATCAAGAGAGGAGCTTTACAAAGCCTTTGAGGTGATAGTAGCTGTGAGGCTGCATGAGTTCAGCATCAGGACTGGAAACCAGAGAGTTCACATTCAGGTGAGTGGTTTATCGCTTTCTCTTGGCCCCATCCACTTATCCTTCTTGGCACCTCCTCTCTGTCCCAGCCCCTTCTTCCAGCTTCCCATTCATCTTCCTTTGGCTATTCAGCAGTCCTTGGTAGTATCTCATTGCTCACACATGGATTTAGGCAGAGAAGCCCCTACCTCTCAGATAAGCCACACTGATGGGGAGGAGCACAGCCCAGGGCAGTGGGATCATGGTGCATCCCTGCTCCAGTGCACCAGTGGCAGCGATGCTGGGTCACATCTGCCACGTGCAGGGTCCCTGTGGGACCCACCCCGGGCCATCCTGCAGCCTGTGGGGATGAGACAGGGGGCAGGTGATCCCCGGGAGTCTCCCTGCCCCTGTGAACTGGTGCACCTGAGGATCCTCATCACCATGGGAGAACAGCAGAAGGGGCTCTTGGAGACAGCAGGGTGGTCCTGCTGTCCTGCAGAGCCACGTGAGCCAAGTGCCATCCCACAAAGCCACTGAGGTAAGACCCAACTCCAACACCTGCACACTCCTCCAGGGAAAGCCCTCCAGCACCTTGGAGAGGGGCTTTTTCTCCCTTCCTGACCACCACAGTAAAGGTCTAAAACCAGTGGTTGTCCCTTTCCCAGAAGCAGCACAAGATGGTGGCATCCAAGCCATCTGTCCCTGCTCCCTGGCGCCTGGACCCATGGACACACTGTCCTGCTACAAGGAAGGACATCCTGTGCCTGGTGGTGTATGATCCCCAGCCCGTGGGCAGCACTGATCCTGCCAGCAGTCCTGCTCCTGCAGTGGGATTCACCCCCTCTCTCTTTGGACTTCCCTCTACCCCTCCAGTTGCCCCCCCCAGAGCTGCTCCCAACACATTTTGGGCACATGCAGCCAGGCCAAAGCCCCAGCACCCCCAAGGTGATGCCTGCAGCACTGCTTTGAGCCGCTGTGCCGGGCTCAGCTTCCCTCCTGTCTGTGCAGGAGCTGGGCTGAGCACAAGGCACAGGATTTGCCCCACCTGGAATATCCATGGAGGCGGCAGGATGGAGTGAGGAAGGCCAGGGCACTTTGTCCTGCAGTGTGAGTGGCATTGGTGTGTGTCCTGCCTGTCCTTTACCAATCTCACTGGCTCAACAGCAGTGCAGTCACTCCCCCTGCCCACAGCTGCAATTTGGAGAGGAGCTCAGAGACATTTAGCCTAGCCCCCAGTGTGGTGGGTCCACAAGCACCTCCACAGGCTAATGCTGAGGAAACCAGCTCTCTCCCCATCCTCCCTCACAGCATCCACACCCCAAACCATGACATTTCCACAGTGCCTTTCATCCCCAAGGGCTCCCCGCTGGGTGGGAAGCCCCAGGAGCTCTCCCCATTTGCACAGAGCATCAGAGAGGAGCAGAGGGAGGGTGCACTGTCCCCAGCCCTTCTGCCAGGCAGGGAGGGCATCCTGGCTTCTTTGGCACCTGGTTCCTCCTGGCACGGGCCTCCTGCACGGCTGCAGCCACCCTGCTGCCACAGCCCTGGCCTCACCCTCTCACCCCCTCTCGTGCTCCCTCCACGCCAGTAGTGTCCCCTCTGCCACTGCTGCCACCCTTCTGCTCCCCAGGCTCCCCAGCAGGAAGGCCATGCTGGCCCTGGTGCAGAGGTGGCCTCCTCTGCTAGCCTGGGCATTCCCAAAAATCCCTTCTACCCCAAGAGCCACATCCTACCACGTGTTGTCTCGCTGTCTGTTGGTGCCTGCTTTGTAGAGGTCTCCATAAATTGTCAGGTCTTGCCATCAGCTTCTCAGCAGCCCAAGCACCCACAGCGCTGCCTTTGCTGCCTGTCCAGGGCCATGTGGGCTCAGTGCCACGGGGTGATGCTCAGGGTGTCAGGGCTGGGTCTCTTTGCAGTGCTGAACACAGAACTGGGGCAGCCCCTGAGCTTCCTCCCTTCCAGTGGGTGATCTGATCTGTCTCACTGAACTGTCAGGGTGATTCTCCTGCCTGTCTCTTCCCTCCCTGCGATGCTGAGACTCTTGTCCCTCCCCAGGACACTGCCCGCCCATCTGGCTTACCCGTGACACCCATCTGCTGGCTCATCTTTGCTCTTCCTGACTCCCAAAACTTTGCTCTCTGCCTGATAAAAGGCCGCCTTCCTGTGTCTGTGTGAGCATGCCTTGGAAGCCAAGCCTATTCCCAACCAAAGCCTGGCATGGGCTCTGAGTCTTTCTGCCAGCTGGAAGCAGAAACACCGGCATCCTTTGGTTAAAGACAACAAACCAAACAGGATTTCTAGTTTGGCTTCCAAGCAGGAAAGCATTTCGGGAAGATAGTTATAAATAAGTGGTTTAACATCTCCTGCCAGCAGACATCACAGAGGAGATAATGTTCTTTTTTTATAAAACTGTCAGCAACTCAAATTGGGACGTTTCCTTCCCAATTAACACGAGGCTGTTGATGGGGGCTTCTTCTAAGTGCTTGCCAGGCCAGAGCCAATCTAGCATCACTTACTGGGGTTTACTGCTTGCTGTGATAGCATCTAAGGGCTCCATTTTTATAATTGATCCTGTGTAGAAATATATGTGTATATGACCACTGACAGTCTAATCCACAGTTATGCACAGTGGGCACATCATTTCGCTGTGAACCTCAATACTCCAGTATTTCTTTTCTTCTGGCAAGACCCAAAGCTTCCCTGACTTGATGAGAGTCTCCCAGGCAGGAATTAGAAGTCTTTGAGGGTCATAAAAATTATCTGTTCAGTCTGGGCTCCTGTTTTGCAGCTTGCACCACCTGGGAAACACACAGTGCAGTCCAAGCCTGCAGTTGCATTCCTGATGGAAATGTCAGAGGGACATTTTGGCACTGGCAGCTCTTCCCTCCTCTGAAGCTGCCCATGGGCACAGCAGTGTGGCTGTGAGGAACTCAGAGCCTCAGGGAGGTGGGGGCAGTTCCTCTGGGGTGCCCTCGATGGGGAGGAGTTGCTGCCAGCTCCATGTTTTGTTAGCATGGAGAACATTCCTGCAGGGTGACATGAGAGGGCTGGGGAAAAGGTGGTCCCTCAGTGCCACCCATCCTTCTAAGAGGCTGATGAAGTTACCCACACAGAACACCTCAGAAGCTTCTGGAACATCACCCAGCAGAACCATGGCACCCAAGACAGAGCTTGCTGGTTCTCCTCTGTGCACTGAGCTCAGCATAAGCAGAACTGGCCTTGCCACTCCCAGGGTTTTACAGACAAGTGCTGTGGCCAACACAGTCACTCTGTCCTGATCCCTGCCAGCTCAGTGGCACTGTCAGGGTCCTGTGTGACACCCCCTGTGCAAGCAGACCCCAACTCTGCTGTTTCCAGACACCAGCCGTGCATGTGAGCACCCTGTTCCTGCAAACCCATCCTATGGGCACGAGGTGCATCCATCCCTCACCTGCAGCCTTGATGTGTCCTGTCCATATCTTGGATCCCTTTCAGCCATCTCTTGGGAAGGATTATAGGGCTGCATCACACACCAGGAAGGGATTTCCCCTGTTGCAGATCACCTCACACGGGGAGACCCTCTGTCCAGCTAAGAATATCTCAGACCTCCAGAAACCTGGCGCTGTTGCCTCTTGCAGAGGAGAGAGGAGAGTTCTACAGCAGAGGGTGCTCTCCCAACAGGCTCACGTGGGGAAGGGTTTGTCAGGGATGTGCCAGGGCCCCCCTTCCATATTCTTGGTCCTGGGGTTGGTGGAGAGCTGGCGTGGGGCCGTGGGGCTGGGTTGTCACAGCATGCAGTGTCAGACCAGCCCCTCTTCCCCAGATTGTGTCTCCCTGGGGCCACACTTTAACCCACCCCACCAGATATCTGTGTGGATCTTGCAGATTGGAGAGAAACAACATTTCCATGAGTCCTGTTGGGGGTGGGGAGGGCTTAACCAGGGCGAAGAGCTCATTCATGGAAATATAAATGCTCTATTAATATCAAAGTAGAGAGAAAAAAAATCCAAACAATTCACCAATCCTCTTTCTACATTAAGCTAAACTACTTCTGAAGGTCTTTTTGGCAAGAAGCCACAGCACAGATGAGATTGATGGCTTCCAGGTATAAATATTTACTGTTTGACCTTGTTATTGTTCCATCAGCCAAAGGTTTTTACATATATATGAGCGTGTGTATATTTATGCTCACAAACTCTTTATATATAAACATCAAACCTCCTTGTCTTTGAAAGATAAAATGGCCACTTTCAATTATTTTACTTCCTTCTCATTCCCTTTGCCTAATCTTCTAGAATGAGGTGCATTCCTCTCTGCTGGTCCTCAGGTGGCTTTGGGAGGCACAGGGAACAAAGGGAGCAAGGGAGAAGAGCCTCTCCCTGCTCTGGGGGCTCGGTGCAGGTTTGCTGCCTGGACCAAGGGCACTGCTGGCAGCGCTGCCCAGCATCTTTATGGAAAATTTAGTCCCTGAGGTCACAGCTGCTCCAACACAGGCCTTGTCCTGCCCTGGCCACCAGGATGTTCCCAAGATGGCTTTTCAACAGCTGAATGCTACAAGCAATTAGTCCTCCTCCCATAGCAGCATCAGGGAATGTGCAGCCAAGCATTGTGAACACGTGTGAGGTGTCCACCCTCAGCCTGCTTCAGGAGGGAGCACAAAACCTGGTGGGATCCACTCCAGCTGTCCCCGGCCAGATGAACACCAAAGGTAGGGGCTGTGCTTCACCTTGATCTCTTCTGCACAGCACAGGGCAGTGCTGGCACTTGGCCACTGCTTGCTGCTCATCCAGGTGGGCTGGGCTGATACCTGACCATGTGCTGATGGTGGGAGGGTTCAGCAGAAGCACAGACTTTTGCTTCTGCTGTGTCCTGGGCCTGTACTCGATCTCAGCACGAGCAGGGCCATGGGCAGGTTCTGGGCAGCCCCTGAGTGGTGAGCGAGCAGGTACCCACTGTCTGCTCCCTCAGTGTCACCCCTGCCTCACCCCCTGGCTTAGGAGAAACATTCAGGCAGTGATGCTGCAGTTGCACTCGTGGCTCCTCTGTCCCCTCCCCTGCTGCTGGAGAGAGGCTGTTGTGGTCAGCCTGTGCCTTGTGGTGTCCCAGCCGGGATAATGAAGGATGGATCTGCCCCAGCTGGTTCTCGCTCTGGGTCTATGCCTGCCTCCCACCACTGGAATCTGTGCTGCTTTAACCAGGAGAGAGCCTTAGGCTTGGATTAGTCCCAGTGTTGGACCTGTCATCCTTCACCACCAACCAGCATTTATGTTGTTTTTCGCTCGTGAAGCTTTAGGACAAAACATGATGTTCTAGCTACTCTGTCCTATTCCCACTGTCCCAGTGCAGATCTCTTCTGCACAAAACTTTAACAATCCCATCTGCCTAGAGAGGGAAGCCTGGTCCCAGGTTTTCTGTGTGAGCCAGGATGCTCCCACAGTCTTTGAAGGCTCTTGGCTCTTCTCTTCAGCGCTGCTTGAAGGACCTGTCAGCTTGATGAGACCATTGGCTCGTGTTACACTGCTAGCAGCACTCTGTTTCCCCTGAAAAGTCTGTCTATACCTCCTGTCTTTTTGTAGGGCACCCAGCAAATGTAACAGGAATCATACATTGAATCATTTGATTTTTGCAACCACAAAAAGGAGGGGCAGAGTTGGGAAACCTGAGTCGCTGCCACACTGCCTTTGCCAGGCTGCATTTAGGGTTGAAGGTTCCTCTGTCACAAGGGAGTTTCTCAGCCCACCAGACCTGGTCAGGTGGCCACAAGTATCCCTTCATCAACTAGATTTTCACTGTCAACTGACTTGGGGATAGCTGCAGGCAGATGTCCTGTCTGAAGGTGAGGCCACCAGCTGCTCCTTTAGCTGCAGCCCTGGTGCCCAGGGTTTGGAAAGTGGCATTGGCATCATGCTGGGGCAGCCCATCCTGGGAAGGAGCAAATCACCAGAGAACATGCCCATCTCCACTGCCTCGGGTTCAGTCTGAGCCCCAGTACGTCCTCTGCTTTGTTTTCCATCTTCTGAGACTCTCTTTACTCCACTATGAGATAGGATCTAGCTGGCAGCAGTTTAATGCATGACAATCCTGTTACTACATCTGTAAATAATGAACAACTAGGAAAAAAAAAAGGCATTTTTTAAATTTTTTGTTGACTTTATTTTCATTATTGACTAGCTAGTAGCCACTTTCTTAAGGGATTTCTCATGGAAACTGTGACCTTTCTTCTCTCTGTTTCTCTCTCTTTCCTTCTGAGGTTTGTGTTTCAGATGCTTTTTGGTGCAATGTTCAATGCCTGTTTGTATTTTTGAATCGTATTTTTCAACCTTTGCTGGAAAAAAAAAATAAAATTGCCCATTCTAATTGGCAGGATTTTGAGTCCTGCCATTTTTTTCAGCTTTTAGCTTTTTCACTAAGTTAAAGCAACAGAAAAATGCCTCAAAAAATTACAGTGAAGTTCTGAAGAGAGATTAGAAAAGCATCAGAAACAAGAACTAAATGAAAAAGATCAGCAAGCTGAGTGGAGGAGGAGGACTCTTCTGACACCTACTAACCTCCTGATCTAACACACAAGGCGGGACTAGACCTCTTCACTGAATTAAATCACTCCGCTTTTCCACTCTACCCACTCTCTCGAACTCCAATCAAAACAAATAAAAATTCATATTTTAAAAAAAAACCCCTGTGTCATTTTTTTTTCCCCCATGTTTCTAAAAGGCAAGTGATGTTGATACACATAGGGATGGGGAGTCCAGGCAGCCAGTCCTCTGGGTTTGGGCTACCTGCACATTAAAAATAATAGTCTGTGGGAAAGTAAAGGTGCTTGAAAATATTCTGTGCTTGCCATTGTGTCTGGCTGGGGAGTTTGGAAACCAGCTCAAAGACAGAATGGCAGGGGTGTGAGTGGTGGCAAAAAGGAGACCCTGAGGTGTTCTCTTTTCTTGCAGTGTGTGGCTCATGGTCAGACTTTGCTTTTCCAGTGGAGCTCTTGGGCATTTCTCTGTGCACAGCATGAATGGAGCTTTCTGCTGCTCTGGGGACAGCGAGAAGAGGCCGTGGCCAAGACACACCCTGAAACCTACCCTGAAAAAGGGCAGGTTCAGATTAGATATTAGGAAGGAATTCTTCCCTGTGAGGGTGGGGAGGCCCTGGCACAGGTTGCCCAGAGAAGCTGTGGCTGCCCCATCCCTGGAAGTGTCCAAAGCCAGGTTGGATGGGGCTTGGAGCAACCTGGGCTAGTGGAAGGTGTCCCTGCCCTGTCCATGCCAGGGGTGGAATGAGATGGGCTTTAAGGTCCCTTCCAGCCCAAACCATTCTGTGATTCTATAAGACACTGGCTTATCCAACCTACCACACACACTTCTCCAGGTGAGTCACACCTTCAAGACACCCTGGTGTGGAGAAGGACATGGGGGCTCTCAGCCCAAATGTCTTAAGCCATATGTAGATGGAATTTGTGCCAAGGAAGGCTGTGGGCCTTCAACCCCCTCCCACTGTGCTGTTCAGATGCCCTCTCCCTTTGGGCCACCAGAAGATCTTCCAGGCATGACTGGGGTTGACCATCATCCAGAGACCTTTCCTGCAGGGAGTTTTGATTGTGGCTACCCTGTAGACAATAAACTGGAGATTTAATAGCACACAGACACATCCACGACACACCCCCTGGTGTGACATGTGTCCAGTGTGGGGTCTGCTGGGTAAGAAGTCCAAGGTGTAGGGGCTTCATTTGGACGCTCCACTGCATCTCCTTGGAGGCATGAGAAGTTATATTTAGCAACTAGTAGAAAGAAGGATTTTTTTTCTCACCTGGTAGAAAGATCTGAAATGAAGCAAATCTCTTCAAATGCAAAAGAAGGAGAAAAATCACCTGCAAGACACGCAGAAGTTCTCCCTATTGCGTTAAGCTTGAAACGTTTGCTGTTCCCCTGGGGCCTTTTTCTGCATTTTTGGTTACTTTTTAGTTTAAAAATATTGATGATTTACCCAAATCTCGCATACTCCCCCTCCCCCCGGTTACCACTGGGAAATAGCAGGAGAAGAAAATAACTCCAATGACAGCATCAGTTGTTTTCCACGCCTGAAGAAGGAACGCAAAGCCCTCCCCTCTCCCCGGATTCCCTGAGCACCATCTGTATGCTGCACCAGGGACTTGCTGGCGGGACAATATCTCCAAACATATTGCAACCTCGGACAAAAAAATAAAAGTTAGGCGTTTGAATTTGCTGCATTCAGCTGAATCCTCCCCCTTCCTCCGAGGTTCGGATGACAGGAGAGGCTCGGGAGCGCTGGGGCTCGCAGCTGCTGTGGCAGATGGAGAGTTACCATGGGTCTCAGCAGCACAGGCTGCATACTTATGTCTTCCCGAGGAAGGAGCAGAGCTTGTGACCTCGGCAGGAGCAGGCAGGGAAGGAGCCCACCACTGTTTTAAACCATAAAAGCTGGGACCTGAAGTTTTCACCGCTTCCCCTGCCAGCCCTCCGCCACTCCACACCCCTCCCCAGCCTCAGTCCTTGCTCAATCAAAACTGCACAGAGTTGGTCCCAGCCTGAAAAGATCTTCCTGACTCAGAAGACAAAAATAAACAGCAATGTGAAATGCTTCCCTGCATTATCACTTCTCTATTTGAACCTAGAACAAGGGCCCTGAAGAGGAACAGAGTGTAATTGCAGTGTCCACAGAAAAGAAATACTAATGAAAACAGGCAGAGCCGGGAGAATTGGCAGAGAAGAGGCAGAACTGAACAAGTATTTATTACCCCAGCACTTACTGCTCAGGCTGACAGGTGTCTTAGGAATGCAATAGCTGAGTTTTATTATTAGGTGCTCATAACACAGCAGTGCTCGGGGTGAGGGGAGGGCGGCTCTGCTGATGTGGCTCCTGAGGTGCCAGGACTTGGGGAGCAGATAATGTCTCCCCCATGTCAGGCTGTAACATGGCCAGGGGGGATGGCTCAGCCCCACAGCCCCATGAAGGAAAGGGCCCCCTGGGGCACAGTGTTCATCTTCTGCCTTCAAAGGGTCACCGTCTCAGAACCTTCTTCTTTGAACAACCCCCCCATGAGGTGGGGTGAGAGCCCCAAAGCCAGCCCTGAGCTGACCCTCATGATTTTGGGATGGTGTGATCAAAAATCCCAGCATCAAGGAAGGATTCCTCCTGCAGGAGGAACTCTCTTCTCTGCTTCCTTCACCCTCTAAGACAAGTAAGTCTAAAATTACATGACTCCCATTTGCAGGGCTCTTCCCAGGCTGTGCTGGGTGCCTTGTAAGCAAACAGTGCTTTCTTCTGCAATTCCTCCTGAACGAACTCATCCATCAGCAGTTTGTCAGAAGGAACATGGTTTGAGACTTTGTGGTCTCCCCACTGCACAGAGAACCCCTTCTCCTGGCAGGTTTGTGGCTTCCTGGGATTCATTCTCCCTTACACTTCCTCGTCCTGGCAGGCTGCAGTGGCTCTGTGGGAGATCCCAATGCTTTCCCCTCACAGCCACACACTCTCTGCCATCAGAGGTGGGAAAAGCCCCCACCACCTTCCCTTTCCACACTCATCAGATGGATGATGTGTGAACAGCAGCCAGAGCAGCAAGGGGGGCTGCTTCCCAGCACGGATGTGCTAAGCTCCTTCTGGGAATCCTCAGTGTCCTTCACGGGCATGAAAATGTCCTCTTCCCCTCCACCCCTAAGGCAGCAGCAAGCGATGGGCCGTGGAGGGGAGCAGGTGATGTGCCTGGAGCCGTGGGGGTGGGTGCCAAGCACAGCACAGCCCCTTCACCCCACAGCAACAGGGAATGTGCCAGAGCGGGGCTTCAGGGGAGGCAGGAGAAGGAGCTCTGGCCCCAGGGAAAGGATGACATCTCCTGCGTGGGAACTGTGGGGCTCCTTGGGTCTCCTCGGACAGCCCTGCAGTGTCACCAGCAAAGCAGGTGCCTACACCATGTGCTCCCATGGACCCTGGTCCAACCACAGGTTGGTTTCAGTCCTTCCCTACAGCCTCATGGGGCTATAGGGAGGGGTTTGCAGTGGAGGGTTTGGAATACCCAGCTGTAGGGCACTCAGGTGGGACAGGGGAGTCAGCCAGCCTGGGAACAGCAGGGACCCTGAGAGAACAGGGCTGTGCCATCCCCACGACCACCCGTTTGGCAGGCAGAGAGAAAAATAGCTCTGAAAAACAGCACCAGGTGATTTTCTTCACAAGGGGGGAGTTGCAGGAGCTAGCTGAGCATTAGGTACTTTATAAAAGCACTTTGGGATCCCCCATAAATAGCAGTGGAGGCATTTGCAGCAGTGGCTTTGGCAGAGGAGAAACTGCAGCCATGATAGTCTAAGGATGTAAGTGAGGACAGGCTGGTAGGAAAAAGCAGTATGTGTTTATTACACAGCACAGCTGGGGGAAAGAAGCCAAGCTTTCAGGTCTATAAACTCTCCTTCGGATGTGATGCCATAAACTGGAATCTTAGGGCTGAGGAGGACTGGTCTGGGATAACTCTGTTAATGAGGCAATCAGAAGGCAAAGGCTCCCAGCTCCCAGCAGAGTGGCAAGTTTTTTATAAGGGGAAAGGTACTTGGCTTTTTGTGAAGAATAGGAGACAAAATAGTATGGCTGAGCTTATTCAGAAAAGAAAGAAAAGCAGGCAGTGATAGGGATTAAAAAAAAAAAAAAGAAAGAAAGAAATCAATATAATATGGACAGAAAGCTCTTCTAAAGTCAATGCACAATTTTCCCAGCATGTGTGGGTTTTACACTTGTCCAAGAAGCCTGGGAGCAGTAAGTCTCTGGCCTGACCCCAGCTCAGCTATCCATCAGCCCAGGCCTGTACTGGAAGTGACCATAACTCAGCAGCCCATCTCCCAGCATCCAAGAGAAGCTGCTTAGACTCCTCTTACAATTTCTCTTTGAATTTTTCAGTATCTACACCAGACTGTAATCCCCAGTTTGACTGTAAAACCAGCCTTTGCCTTCATACTGCCTTATTACACCCAGCATAAATCATGAGGGGTAGTGAGACAGGATTGATAAGGAGGATTTATTATGCTTGAATAACCATCTATAACAACTCATTGCTGAGTGACTCCCCCTCCCTCCTCTGGAGAACAGCTGCTGGCAGAATATAGTTGTTTTCAAGTGTGAACACTGAATCAACTGGGACTGGAGAACCTCACTCACGTCCTCACTGGGAGGACAGGGCTGGGTTCGCCTGACCATGGTTATCACAGAATCACAGAATGGTTTGGGTTGGAAGGGACCTGAAAGATCATTTTGTTCCAACCCCCTGCCACAGGCAGGGACACCTTCCACTAGACCAGGTTGCTCAGAGCTCCATCCAACCTGGCCTTGAACACTGCCAGGGATGGAAGTGATATAAAGGGAAGCATCTCTTAGCAACTGTCCAGAGATGTGGAGGCTGACCTTCACTGGTCCTGGGCAAGGGAAGCCCTGAGGTGAGGGTTTGCCCTCACACAGTGATGTTGATGTCCTGGGTGAGGAGTAGAGACATCCAGAGTTCCCTGCCTTAGGATAAGGATGCTCCAGGTGCTGGGGGAAGGAGCCCTGGGCTGGCCATGGGGAGCTCAGCGTGGCCAGAAATTGCATTTCACCCACGGAAACAACTCCTCTCCCTTTTGGATTTCTGTGTAGACAACAGAATAGAAACCAGCTTCCTGGGAAGTCAGCATTCCCACTGGG